GGGGCTACACACTGGGGTTACAAGCCTGTGCCACCCTGCCTGGCTCTTAAGTGGGTGTGTGGGATTCGAACTCAGAGCCTCACATTTGCACATTGGGTACTTGGCTCACTGAGCCATCGTCCCAGCCCCTTGATTTCAACTTTCTAGTCCACTCTTGAGAACTGGTCTTTCGTCGGCCATGAGGTCTTTAATCAGGAGGTTGCAGACACCAGTGCCTACATGAGCTACCTGGAGATGCTAACATGGAGGTTCCTGGGCTATATGGTCAGACTGGGCTCAGGACTCTGGTTTGGAAACCAGCTCCATGAGACTGATGTGGACAGTAGGTGGACCAGACCACCGACCCTCCTTTTCTCCTTTTCAACAGGAGAAAAGAGCAGTGGGCCAAGACAGTGTTGGAGCAGGGCTTCCACTGTATATGGAGTGAGGGTCCCTTAAAATGGGGGAAATCTCCTCTTGATGGGGGTGTTCAGTACATTGCCATCTCTGAGAAACTGGAGTGAAAGCCAGAAGCACAAACAGAACCCAGGGGACATCTCAGCAGATGGAATACCTGCTGTGCAAGCCGGATGACCCCAGTTCGATCCCCGGGAGCTACATAAAGGCAGAAGGGGAAGAACTGACTCCACGTGGCTGTCCTGTGACCTCCACGTCTGTGACCACACTCACACCCACATGCTGATTAATAAAAAGAAAAAATAAAAAGTCAACCGGGTATGCCTTTCTCTTCCTTACCACCTCAGGGCCCACCTGACAATATCTGATGTTTGGGGTTGTTATGTCTTCAAGGATAGAATCCCCGTGGGTCTGTGTCCAGGGATGAGACCACCATTTCATCATGGTCTTATACATGTATGTATTGCTGGGATACCCAGCTGGCTGTGTGTTTCTTGATCCTGTCTCCGTAACAAGGCAGAATGACACAAGGTATTGGTGTTACCCCTGCTTTACCTGACATCTATCTAGAGCCCTTCGGGCTGGTCCCTAGTCCCTCGTACACTCGGATGCATGGCGTCATTGCCTTTCTGGGAGCTGGCCAAGCACCTCTCCTCACCAGCCACTCACCCTCTTACGAAGCAGGGCACGATGTCGTCAGCCTGTATTCGGTTGAGCCAGGAGGAGCACACCCCGTGGTGAACTGGTCCTTCTCCATCTACAAGGATGAACAAGCGGCCGGTCTGATGATGTCAGGCACTGTTCCACTTCCCAGCCCCGCCCTCACCCCCAGTGAAGTCTCTCCCAGCTCAATGACAAGTGTTGTGCCTTGGAGAGCTCTGGACCCCTGCCTCTGATGGAGAAAGGGGGACTAACACAACCAGAGTGAGCTTAGGTTGGCTTGTCCTCAGGATTTGGATTAGTCTGTATGTGAACACTCAGACCCTGTCAGCTTGAGAGCCCAATCAAGATGTTCTGACTAGCTTGTTCACAGGTGTCTCAGAGCCTCTAGGCACTGCATAGTTTCAATTCCTTGGTCACAGGGGAACAGATCGAAGGGGTGTTAGTGCTATTTAGCTCCAGCTAGGCCTGTGAGATACCCCTGTGTGCACTGCACAGCAGGTCAGACAGGGTGGAGGAGGCCTGTTCTACTTGCCGCTCGAAGTCTGAGAAGATCAAGCGAATCAGAGCAGGACTCAGCCTCCCCCTTCCCCCTTGTCTATTTCTAACCACACTCAGGGTTAGCTCAGCCACGGGGACACGCAGCCTGCTGTGTGTGTTTGCTCTATTCTCTAGGCTTCGCTGAGAGCGTCCTGCAAGATTTGTGATCTGATCCACGGGCAGTTTAGGGAGAGATCTCCAGACACCTCGGGGGGTGGGGGGGGAATACAGACGCAAGGGTCTCCCAGTAGGCTTCCCCAAACACACACCTCGGGTGTGGTAGGACACAATGGCCACGGTGAGGTGCACCTCATCAGGGTACATGTCTGGAGAGGAGCTGATGGAATAGTAACGAGGCTGTAGCAGCGACAGCTGGGTGAGGAGAAGCGTGGCAGGCATCTGGATGGACCGGAACTCCTCCAGCACCTCCACCATTGTGGGGTTCTTGCCCCATTTCCACTCCTCATATTCCTGGAGCCCCTGTGGCAAGAAAGAACAGAGAGGGGCTTTGAGTCCAGGTCCCAGATTTCTAGTGGGGCCTGGAGGGCAGCCTGGGAGGAGGAGAACTGACCTGAGGATATTCGGTACCTACAGTGGGGCATTGAGCCTCTGGCTTTGAAAATAGATGGGCTTTGAATGGTTGTACTTCAAGTGTGAACCGTCCCCCATACGCTCATGTGTCTGAACACTTTGTTCTTGGTAAGCAGTGCTGTCTTGGGAGGTTGTGGAATCTTTAGGTGGTGAACCTCACTAGAGGAAGTGAGTTATTGGGGGGGGTGGGCCATCAAGTATTACAGTCCAGTCCATCGTCTTCCTGGTCACTGTCTGCTTCCCGACTGCAGGTGCAATGAGACTAGCTGCTGACCTCCTCCCCCGTGTGACTGTGGCCGTACCTTCCCTATTGTGACAGCGGCACCCTGCGAACAGTAAGCCCAAGAAAACCTTTCTTGCCTTAAGTTGCCTCATATTGGGTATTTGGTCACAGAGATGGCTCTGGATATTCTGAAATATCCAAGGCTGATTAATTTGCTCAAGAGAAACCTATCATGAAGATCCTGGAGGTTTGTGACTGGGATGCCTGCAGATCTGGCATCTGGAGAGGATCCGTTGTGCATAGGTGGTGTCAGCTACATGTTCTAACATGGCAGAGGGGGGCCAGTTTTTTATAGAAATGTTGATCTAATCTATGAGGGTGAAGTCTTTGACTCAATTGCCTTGAAGAAGCCCCGCCCCTTCTTCCTTCCTCCTCCTCCCCCTCCTCTTCCTCTTCCTCTCTCTCTCTCTCTCTCTCTCTCTCTCTCTCTCTCTCTTTCTCCTTTCCTTCTTTGCCTCCTTCTTCTCTCTGCCCCCTCTTGTAGTGCCAGTCCTAGTGGTCAAATCCAGTCCTGTGCATACTCTACCTTCCAACCACCAAGCTGCATTCCCACCCTAGTCCCTACCCTTTAATGTCATCCCCTTGTTAAGTGACACATCAAATCTAACTGAGGGAGTTTAATTTTGATGTGAGGACTCTAGCAGCCGTAGACACTCATTCTGCAGCAGCTGGCTATCACATTATCCCATCTCTCAGATGAGGCTACTGAGGCACGGAGTCCTGGTTAGCTAGGACTAGGCTTTGAATCTGAGCCGGGGAGGGCAACCTTTAGCCAGTAAGTACAACAATCCCTGACAGCTACATGCGTGTGTGACCTGTGAGGTAAAAATAGTCTTTATAATTTTAAAAGATTTGGTTTAAATTATGTGTGTGTCTGTGTCTGCGTGTGTGTCTGTGTCTGCGTGTGTGTCTGTCTTGTGTCTGTGTGTCTATGTGTGTGATTTCTTGCAGAGGCCAGAAGAGGGCGCCAGAGTCCCTGCAGCTGGAATTACAGATAGCCGTGGGTCCCCTGATGTGGATGCTGAGACATGTACTCCAGTCTTTGCAGGGACAGCAAGTTCTCTTAACTGCTGAGTCAGTCACCTCTCCAGCCCCAAGAATTGTGTTTTTAAAGGTCTCTATTTTCAGTGCTGAGCCACACTGCCCCCCCCCCCCCCAGTTGCTGGGAGCTGCATTACTCGTTTCTCTTGCTTGCTGTCTGAATCCCTGACCAGAAGTGACCTAAAGAAAAAGTGGGTTGCTTTCGGTTTACACTTCAAGGAAGATACAGGCAATCGTGGAGGACAGGAGACTGCAGGAGCATGAGACAGCCATCCCAGCGCACACACGCATAGCAGGAATGAACAGGGATGTGCAGCTGGGCTATGAGACCTCAAGTCCCACCCCTAAGACTCCCCTTCCTCCAGGAAGGCCTTGCCTATTAAAAGTGCCATTACCTCAAACAGCGCCACCATCTGGTGACACCAAGTGTTCGGACTGCATGAGTCTGTGGGGGGATACTGCACATTCAAAGACTTATCTTTATTATTTTAAATCACATATAGGTGTGCGTATTTCTCCAGGCGAGTATTGTGCACTTGAGTGTGGGAGTCAACAGAGGCCAGAGTCCCCAATCCTCTGGAGCTGGAGTTAATAGAGATTTGTAAGTCATCTGGTGTGGGTTCTAGGAAACAAACTTGAGTCCTCTGGAAAAGCATCAAGTTTTTTTTAACTACTGAACCAATTCTCCAGCCTTATATTTCCCATTCAGAGCACAACAGAGGGTTCATAACCAAGAGTCTCCAGTGCAGGACTCTGAATGGACCTGAACCTAAAACTGACTTCCCCTGGCAGTGACCGCTACGTGAAACAGCATTTGGCAGCTAGCTATGCTGCGGCTGGACACGGATTCCTGCGGAAGGTTCAAGTGTGAGACACAGGTGATCCCTTCTAGGAACCATGACTTTGGCTCTAGGAATCCCCCCACCCCCACCCCCAGAACCTTGGCAAAGTTTTTCAGAAACCACCATTGCAAGCTGGAAAACTTCCACCTGCCCAACCCTCCCTTTCTTCTTCATCTCTGGGGTCAGCTTTGTTTTGCAATCTATTTCCTCAGCCCCTTCTGCCTGCTGGCCCATTTTTTTTTCTCTCACAGGTGTCTCTGAGAACAATAATTAAAAAAATCCCACTCGTTTATCCTGTCTGGTGACTTTGGTGCTTTCAGGAAGAAAACGGACTTCATAGGAAACCGCTCTTTCAAAGAATATTATGCAAAACGTTCCTTCTTCGTACCCACCCCCACCACCGCTCATCACACGTTTCCAGTCTAAATGATACATCTTTTAAACATTACAAAATCCCGCTAAGCTTAGGACACAGTGAAGGCCGCCCGCTCTCCCGTGGCCATCTGTCTCCAGCTCCCCACTTCAGAGTCCCAGCTGGCTTCTGGTGTTTACTTTCACATTTCTTGATAATATGCTCTTGCTAATGAGCCACTCACTCCTTTGCTACTCCCCCAGTCCCCCTTCCTGAATAGAAAAAGGAACGGCCTCTGCTGGGGGCTTGTTTCCTGGGAAGGAGACCCCATCCCCGTGGGAAAGGCTGTGTTGGGTGGTCCCCCCTGAGCAGGTAAGTATCTTTATTTTAAATTATGTTAATTTTTAAATTTTAGACTTATTTTATATGTCTGAATGTTTTGCTTGTATGTATGTATGTATGCATGTATGTAAGTATGTATGTATGTATGCAAGCCGTGAGCATGCCTGGTGATTCCAGAGGTCAGAACAGTAGTCTGATTCCCTTGAATTGGGGTGATGAGCTACCATGTGGGTACTGGGAATAAAATGTTGGCCCTCTGCAAGAATAGCAAATACTCAAAACTATGGAGACATCTCTCTAGCCTATATATTTTATGTACAGGGCTGTGTGTGTGTGTGTGTAACCATGCATGTGCGTGGAGGTTAGATGACAATTACCAGGAGTAGGTTGTCTTTCCACCATCCACGTGGGTCCCAGACTGAACTCAGATTGTCAGAATTGGCAGCAGGTACCTTTACACACTGTGCCATCTTGCCAACCCCTTTTTTCTTTTTTTTTTTTCAGTCATGGAACTCTCTATGTAGTTGAAGATGCCCCCAAACTCATAATCCTCCTGCCTCCACATCCTAAGTGCTGGAATAACAGGCCAAGTGCTGGAATACCACCAAGTCTAGTTTATGTTACCAAGGACCAAACCCAGGGCTTCCTGTGTGCTAGACAAGAGCTCTACCTACTGAGCCACATCTCCAGCCCTAGACACTGTCCTGAGCAAGGCCAGGCAACAGTTTGGGGCAGGCATGTTCATGGTATCTAAGCAAGGGTTGTAAAGCTAATTATTAGAGGTCTCTCATTTAGCAGTCTTTTTTTTCTAGATACTCTACACCAAAAAAAACCATTGTTACCACCCGGAACTAAACCCCTGCCTGTAAACCTGCTCCGAGGGTTTCTACTCCTTTTTCTTCCATGCACTGGTTAAGGGAGTGCGGACAAGAGCTCAGATTCACAAAGGAAAGTGATAAGAGTTACTATAGCGTGGATGTATCTGGGGTGTAGGCGTGTGGGTATGTGGGCGTGTGGGTGTGGGTGTGGGTGTGGGTGGCCAGAGCCTGCTGAGTTTCAAGAGGGGTTTCCCATTCTCCATTTGTCAGGCCTGAGAGCCCAGGAGACAGAGCAGGAACAAGTCAAAGTGAAGACCATATGCAAATGAAGACACGCCCCCTTGCTCAAGACTGCCACCTGCTGTGAACAGTTGGAAGAGCATTTTCAGTGCGCCCCCTAAATCCCAGGCCTTGCAGGGCTCTCAGGATCCACCCACCTTGCTGAGGACCAGCAGCCGCTGCTTCTCTTTCTCATTGGTGGCCAGGGAGGCGAACTGCTGCAGCTGCAGGGGCGTGGGCGGCGTGGTGATGTCCAGGTAGTACTTGAAGGCCTGGAAGATGGTGCAGGGTGGGAGGCGAGACTCATCCTTCCAATTACTGATGACACCTGGGGAGGCACAGCGGGGATGAGGCTCCAGTCACTTAGTCCTCACCACAGTCATCACTCCAGGTGTGGAAAACGAAGCACAGGGAGGTTACGGAATCTGTCTGAGGCCACGCCCCTTTCGCGTGCGTGAGTGCGTGCGTGCGTGCGTGCATGCGTGTACAACTTGCTCTAACTACACTGTGCCCCGGGCTCTCCATGTCCACGGCGTCTGCATTTCAGAACATTTGACAGAGGAACGAAATCAATAAAAAGAAAAAAGTAATCTCATCTGTACCAAACTGTACAGAAATTTTTTTTCTTGTTACTATCCCTAAACACTATAGTGTAGCGACTATTTATATAGCATTTACATTACATTGGGTAAGCCATTTAGAGAGGGTTCAAACCACACAGGAAGATTCGCATACGTGCTAGTCAAAGGCAACAACGTACATAAGTGTTATGTGAACACAACGCCTTTTCTGTAAGTACAGGACTTGGGCATATGTGGATTCTAGTATCTTCTAGGGACCCTAGAACTCTTCTTCCAAGAGGGAAGGCTAGTCTGTCTTTATGTCCCTTCCAAACCTGAGCCGCTGCCCCATCGTTACCATGGACGCCGTAAGAATTTCCATGGAACTCCTGGTCTAAGGTGAGAACTCTGTGGGGTTGGGTTCACTAAGGGAGGGGCGTGTCTCTTCACAGTGGCTCCTTCCAAGAGGTTTGGCAGGAGGACCTTGACAGATGGCATGCCATTCCCATATTCTAGTTAGCTCCCCTGTCAAGGTGACAGTCATGGTGTCACAGGCTGTCAGTTGTGGCCACCTCGGCTCCTTGTACTGGAATCCGGAGCCCACCTGTGTCTGTGAGGGGAAGATGAAGCTTGGAGAGCCATTGGCTTTGAAGGATCTTCAAACCAGGGGTGGTGGTTTGTGTGTGTGGCCCTAGCACTCGGGAGGGTGAGTGGGGAAGATTGAAAGTTGGAAGTCAGCCTGGTCTACATAGAAAAAAGGAAAGAGAGGGAGAAGGAGGGAGGGGGAAGGGAGGGA